CGGAACGAGCTGTCACTGGCTACAATGACCCTGAAACAGGAAACACCATCTCCTTGTTCCAAGCCATGAACAAGGAACTCATCGAAAAGGGCCATGGCATTCGCTTGTTGGAAGCACAGATTGCAACCGGTGGGATCATCGACCCGAAGGAGAGCCACCGCCTGCCCGTTGACATAGCGTACAAGAGGGGCTACTTCAATCAGGAGCTCAGTGAGATTCTCTCGGATCCAAGTGACGATACAAAAGGATTCTTTGACCCAAACACTGAAGAAAACCTTACGTATCTGCAACTGAAAGAAAGGTGCATTAAGGATGAGGAAACGGGGCTGTGTCTTCTGCCCCTGAAAGAAAAGAAGAAACAGGTACAGACATCCCAAAAGAATACCCTCAGGAAGCGCAGAGTGGTCATAGTTGACCCGGAAACCAACAAGGAGATGTCTGTCCAGGAGGCCTACAAGAAGGGCCTCATAGATTACGAAACCTTCAAAGAACTGTGTGAGCAGGAGTGCGAGTGGGAAGAAATAACCATCACTGGATCAGACGGCTCCACCCGGGTGCTCCTGGTAGACAGGAAGACGGGCAGTCAGTATGATGTTCAAGATGCGATTGACAGGGGCCTCGTTGACAGGAAGTTCTTTGACCAGTACAAGTCCGGCAGCCTCAGCCTCACTCAGTTTGCTGATATGATCTCCTTGAAGAATGGTGTCGGCAACAGCGGTGGCACTGGGAGTGGCGTCAGCGATGATGTCTTCAGCAGCTCGCGACATGAGTCCTTAAGCAAGATTTCCACCATCTCCAGTGTCAGGAATTTAACCATAAAGAGCAGGTCTCTGTCCGAAACCCTGGAAGAATCGAGCCCCATTGCAGCCATCTTCGACACGGAAAACCTGGAGAAGATCTCCATCACGGAAGGGATAGAGCGGGGTATCGTTGACAGCATCACTGGGCAGAGGCTTCTGGAGGCCCAGGCCTGCACGGGCGGCATCATCCACCCCACCACGGGGCAGAAGCTGCCCCTCCAGGACGCCGTCTCCCAGGGCCTGCTCGACCAGGATATGGCCACCAGGCTGAAGCCTGCTCAGAAAGCCTTCCTCGGCTTTGAAGGAGTGAAGGGAAAGAAGAAGATGTCGGCAGCAGAGGCAGTGAAAGAAAAGTGGCTCCCCTATGAGGCCGGCCAGCGCTTCCTGGAGTTCCAGTACCTCACGGGGGGCCTGGTTGACCCCGAGGTGCAAGGGAGGATGAGCATGGAAGAAGCCATCAGAAAGGGGTACATCGACGGCCGGGCAGCGCAGAGGCTGCAAGACCCCAGCAACTACGGCAAGATCCTGACCTGCCCCAAAACCAAGTTGAAGATATCCTATAAGGATGCCATGAATCGCTCCATGGTGGAAGACATCACCGGCCTGCGCCTTCTGGAGGCCGCCTCGGTCTCCTCCAAGGGCCTGCCCAGCCCTTATAACATGTCTTCTGCCCCAGGCTCCCGCTCCGGCTCCCGCTCTGGCTCCCGGTCCGGTTCCCGCAGTGGGTCCCGGAGAGGAAGCTTCGATGCGACGGGGAATTCTTCCCACACCTACTCCTACTCCATTAGCAACAGCTCTATTGGGCACTAGTAGTCAGTTGGAAATGGTTGCTAGACCTTGGCTTTCATTTATATGAATTTTCACTTTACTAAATAATAGAGAAAGAAAACCTTGTGCTTGTAGGATAGTGATAGAACTTTCTAGGCTTAAGAAAACGTAGCCATGGGGGGAATCAAATGGTAAAGGCTGTTCTGGCTTCTTATCTTCTTAGCTTACCTGAACCAATGTCATACACTGGGTGTAGCGTATAGGAAGTAGTAATCAGTTGTAAGGAAAACACAAATTGAATCTAGAGTCTGTTTCTTCTCTTCTGTCTTTAGATTTTTGAGTGATGCTTCTTGAACTTCTTATGGCCTATAACCCAGATTTCTGTTCTTGGAGATAAAAATGAAATTGACCTTGTAGTCATCAGTCTGCGTCTCATCTAAATATTTCCATTTTCTGTATGAGGAGAAAATTACCCTATCCCCCCGCTCCCCCACACAAAAAGAATCCCCCTCAAACCCCAGCATTTTGGAATGCGTCTCCTCGGATTGCATGACCCATATACTCTTAAGTGTACCTGTTTGGTTTGGTATTAATTTGACTGTATGTGCACGATAGTAGCAATCTTTGCTGTCCTTTAGTCAAAGTTTTCTGTTCATTTTGCTTGTCATTTTCTATGTACTTTCAAAGGTGTCTTTATGAAGTTTGCTATTCTGGCAATAAAGTTTTAGACGTTTGAAGTTTTTGCGTTTTGATTTAATAATATGTTCCTACACACAAGGGCATTTAGCAGAAGCTTTTTATTGTAAAATGTGTCTGAAACTGTTTACTAAACATCTATTAAGGAAGACCGTTAAAAAACTGTTCTAGTTCTGAGTTCTTGTTAGAAGCTGGTCTTCTGAAGGTAGTTTTTTCAACATTTATGTACCAGGTAGAGTCCTTGAAAGAAGCCTGTGTAAGGAGGCCAGGCAAGAGGTCAATACCCACTTCTGGCTTATTCTGGACAGTGAATAGCATGGGGAGAAGTCACTGTCATACCCTTTAAAAAACATGAAGTGGCTAAGATTCCATTTTGGGTAGCCTTAAACTACATGGTTGCATTTTAGTCCCCAAAGAGAAGGGAATTGACCTTGAATCTATGAAACTGATTCCTGAAGAGTTCTTGGTTCTCTGTTGAAGGACAACGAAATACAAGCCTATTCTTTGGATCAAAGAAAACTTTTGAAATTCGGACATTTGCTATTAAATTAATAATACTTTACTCAATGCCTGGTATGTCTAGTATTGGGCTGGGTACAATGAGGATTCAGTAGAGTTTATAAGACCCTGACTTCAAGGCACGTACAGTCTGGATGGGTACAGAAGACACATGTAAAACAATGAGTGGGACAACTTTCATATATCAGAAGCATATATTAATACAATCAGACACATTTGATGGTACAGTAGAAACTAGGAAGACAAATGAAATGCTAATTGTGTAGAACAAAAACGATCATGCTCTAGATAATCCTTAACTTATTGGTGGGGGGGGGGGCTTTTGGTACTTAGGGTGAAAACACTCGTTTCTTCCTTACCTCGCCTCTCTTTTTCTTCCTCTTGGCCCCCTCCCAATTTGGAGGATTTGTTATTAATTTCATTCACTGAATATTGAGTTCTGTGTGCCACACATGGTCCAGAAGCTGTGGATCTAATGGGAGAAGTACCTGGTACAAAAATAGCCCTTGTAGTTTAAAAGGAAGGAAAGCGCCTGGGAAATGCTGTGTTGAAGGAAATGAAGGAGGATCCTTAGGCCAGAGCTGGGGGGGCTGCATTAGCTCGGGCTGCTGTGACGAGATAGCACAGACCCGGTGGTTTAAACAAACATTGATTTTCTTATAGCTCTGGAGGTCAGAAGTCCAAGGTCAAGGTAGATGCCACCAGGGTTGGTTTCTGGTGAGAGCTCTCTTCCGGGCTAACAGGCAGTGAAGGAGCTCTGGCATCTCTTCCTCAACTTAGAAGGACACTAGTTCTGTCACATGAGGGCCCCACCCTTATGACCTCATTTAACCTTAATTACCTCTCCAAATACAGTCACATTGGGGGTTTGAACTTTGAATTTTGGAGGGGACAGAATTCAGCCCAGAATGGAGGCCTAACCTAGAACGGGGGTCAGGAGACCTCTTTAGGAAAATGGTGATTGGACAGATTAACATGAATCAATGGAAAGGAGTTCTTCAGGTTGATATGGTACACCCCCTCCAAGCTGCTGCCGGAGTTGTCATTAAGCTGTGAAATGAGAGAGCTGGATCCTGGAGAGAGGGCATACTTGACCTGGGCTGAGTTTTGATCTGGTTCACGTATACTGTACATCCACAGAAAAGGGAACTGTATATGTAAATTTTCAACAACAGTCATCACTTCACACCCAAAAATAGACTCACATTTTCCAGGAGGCTTGGCAAACTATGTAATGGCAAACAAAAAGTAAGGATGCAGTGGGCAGGGTATGAATAGACTGCTTCTCGCCACACATCCACTTGTAGCTACTGGCCTGTTTCCATATTATCACCTTTATTTGTGTGTGTGTGTGAGAACTGTGCTATTTGCCTTTGAGAATAGTTGTTCACAAAAGTATACTCCACGGTATACTGCCTGATGGAAGCAAGTGCAAAGGAAAGCAAAGATTTGGCATCAGGCTTGAAAAAAAAAAAAAACATAAGAGGGATTAGATTCTGGTAGTTAAAACCATTTGGGGAAACCAAAAGGGCTGGTTCCAGGTCTTGGGTAGGAAATGTACAGAGTAAACTTGGGTCAATCAAAGCAGGGAAGTACTTGAGGACTAACAGGGATGTGTCAAAGAGACACAGGTGGTTATAGTGGTTTCCACTGGTCAAACTTGGGACCATTTGAGCATCAACAAGAATTATGATGGTTAAAAAAAAAATTAAGTCCAAGATACAGGATGGAAATGGACATTGATTATTAATGGGCTGAATCCATATAACAAATACTCATAGTCTTTAGTAAATGCCTCTTGCATTGTTCACTTTGTGTTGACAGCATCATTTAGGCTATGTCAAATACCAGTGATCTTACTATTCAGAAGAAATCCATGGAACCATGGAAAAATTTTTATTACTGATTTGATCCAATTCAATTTTCTCAAAAATATCAGTATTTTGTATTCACTTTATAATTTCTGCAAACACATTTTCTGCTTATAAAACAAGAATTATGATGGTAATGGAGTATGTAATAACGAATTTTAAAACCTTTAATAATGATTTTTAAAAAACCAAACCGTGATTCCATAGTGAAACAAACAATAGAAAAAATGAAGGCGTGGTAAGAATGGCAGCTAATAAACGTGGGAGCATGACAGAGTTACAGAATCATCGGGTATGCAATCAGTAATGTAATCACAGATTCAGTGAAGGATTGTGTGAGTTTGCTGGGAACGGGACGTTCACATGGCCTCAAAGTAGCATCCCTCAGATTACTTACCAAATACCAAGAGGAAAATGTACAGTTACAATGGAGCCATGCAGTCACTGTCTTTACCGAGTGATCAAATTTAGCATTACTGACAGCAGGAGAATCTAAGATATGTGTCCTCTATGAGGTGTGATAAAGAGGTACACACGTCTTGCAAAAAATGCTTAACACTGAATCTAGTCGTAAGGGGAAGATCTAACAAGTCCAGAAGGAGGAACATTCTACCAGACAACTGGCGGGGAGTCGGGACAAAATTCAGTGACAAGTTACAGAGGAGAGTGGAGGAGACTGTTCTGCAGTAAAAGAGCCGATTATAGCTCATGGGTTGAAAAAAATAATAAAAACGGCTATCAAAGGAATTTCGGGGGCAGCTCGGGAAATTTGAATACGAATTATGTTAGATGATACTATGAAATCATTAATTTTCTAGGTTTGATCATATATGATGCTTATGTCGGGCTATGTCCTTATTCTTGGGAGATGCATACAGACGTCTGTGGGGGTGAAGTATCCGCAACTTTCAAATAATTCGTCAAAAATCAGTGTGCCGGGCTGTGTGTATGGAGACGGTGGGAGAGAGGCCAAATGTTAAGCAGTTAATGAACTGGAGGACGGCTATGCGAATGCTCATTGTACTACTCTTTAAACTTTTCTGTAGATATAAGCGTTTTTTTTTTTTTTAAATTGGGGCGGGGAACGCCGTTCAGGGAAGGCCAAGTGCAAAGGCATCCACGAGCCTTACGAAGGTAGCGACGTCGGGAAGAGACGGAAGAGACTTCTCAGAACCGCTTCCGCCCTTCCCGGGGCCCTTCCCTGTTGGCGGATCCAGTCACGTGGCTACGTGGCCCCGCCCACAGCTCCCAGAGGCCCGCGCGCGCCGCCGGCAGTTGGGCCGCTCCTTCCGGGCCGGCAGGCGGGTAAGTGGTCGTGCCGCGGCCATGGATGGCGACCCTCCACCGGTGGAGGAGCGGCGGCGGCTGCGGGAGGAGCTGAGCGAGTTCGTGGAGAACTGCTGCCGGACGCTGGAGGAGGTGACGGCGTCGCTGGGCTGGAGCCTGGACCGGCTGGACCCCGGGGAGGAGGAGGCGGCCGAGGTGAGGGGCGCGGGGTCCTCCCGGGGGCCCTCAGCCTGCGGAGCCCCGGGCGGCGGCCGCGGCCCCGCGTCTGCAGGGCTGTGGGCGGCGCGGGATCCGGCCTGCAGCGCCCGACGCCCCCGGGATGCTCGCACCCACCCCCGGGCTGCGCACCCCTGCGGAACCTCGCCCTAAGGAGCCGAGGGATCGCGGCGGGTGCAGAGCGGAGCGGATAGCCGGGCTGGGGTGTGACTGGAAGATAAGCGGGCGGGTTCGGGGTGCTGCTCGCGGAGGCGGCGGCGGCTTGCCCTGTCATCTGTCGCGTGGATTCCGCACTTCCACCAGACTCGGTGTCGGGAGGGCTTGGGAGTGCAGGTCATCTTTCTCAGCCTCCAGACTGTGCACCGATTCCACGATTATTAAAGGATGTCAACCTAGAGTCGGTATTAGCAGCTCTCCTGGACGTTAGGAAGAGATGTAGGCAGGAGTATTGGGGTGAACAATCCTGACTTTTTTTTTCTTTTTAATGGGATGGGAGGAAGGGAAGTGCTCCAGTGTGGCATCATTATTCATGCGGTCGACTATTCTTTCTGGGTTTACCATTTTGAAAAAACACTTTTGGGAATTCCCTGGCGGTCCAGTGGTTAGGATTCCGCGCTTCCGCTGCAGGGGGCCCGGGTTCAATTCAACCCCAGGCCTGGGAACTAAGATCCGGCGTGCTGCCCGGCCAGAGGAGAAAACAGCAGCAACACTTTTATTATTTGTTTAGAGGTATATTTGAAGCTGCGAATTCCATTGAGTGGGGCCTGCCAAGCCTTTCCACACCACTGTTTACCCAGCGATTTAGTAAATTTAGATTTCTTTTATTAACAGTTAAATAGAGCTTTGTATATGTCACTTACTATAATTACCTCCTTTAATATTCATAGTTACCCTATGAGGTAGGTACCGTTAGCCACTTTTTACAGATGAGGAAACAAACCAGAAGAGGTGATACTTTGTCCCAGGACACATTGCTGAGAGGTGGCAGTTAGAATTTGAACTCCCAGGCATTCTGCTCTGAGAGTCCCTGTGCCTACTTGATATGCTGCCGCTCTAAAACTCCTCTCTGAAGTTCCAAAATTCGGGCAATCGGCTGTGGGTGTGTATCTGACCTTTGCAAAACCAGTGTCTGATATTCAGGAGAGGAACTGGCTTAGACATCCTGGTAAGTGACATTCATACTTCCTAGACCAGGTGCAGTCCAGATAGGCAGTGAATCTTCACTTTTCTGCTGGAGTGTTTTCATACTGAAGCTGAGTGAACAGCGTCACAGTTCCCATCCTCACAGAGCTCAGCGGCTGGTGGTGGTGATGAGGGGGAATACAGAGAGATCAGCCGCTACATTGTAATGTGATAAAGTCTGTGAAGGCTGGGTTGGAATTGCTGTAGTGCCGGTTATTGTAGGCTGTGAGGGGATGGCCAGGACTTCCTGGGTAAAGTGAATTCTAAGCTGATAAATGAAAGTGAGCTGAATTAGCTAGTGAAGCACAGAGAAAGCATCAACAGCATGTGTAGAAATCCAGAGACAAGGGTGTGGTGAGCAGATCAGGAAACCTCCGGTAGTTAAGGATAGCTAAGAGCATAGGCTATGGGGAAGGAGGGGAATGATGGTCAGTAGGGGCCAGACCTTAAAGATCCTCGTGTCAGCCGTGTTAAAGAATCTGGATTTTTTTTTTTTCTTAATGAGAACAGTGGGGGAGGCATGGAAGTTTTTGTTTTTTTCTTTAATTTATTTATTTTTGATTGCGTCGGGTCTCTGTTGCTCCACATGGGCTTTCTCTAGTTGCGGCGTGCAGGGGCTACTCTTCTCTGCTGTGCGCGGGCTTCTCATTGCGGTGGCTTCTCTTGATGCGGAGCACAGGCTCTAGGCGCGTGGGCTTCAGTAGTTGTGGCTCGTGGGCTCAGTAGTTGCTGCACGTGGGCTTTAGAGCACAGGCTCAGTAGTTGTGGTGCACGGGCTTAGTTGCTCCGCGGAAGCCCCGCATGGAAGTATTTTAAGCCAAGGCATATCATGATTATACTTGCCTTTTAATAAAATAATAATTGCTTATATTTATTGAATACTTACTATTTACCAGGTCCAGTCCAAATTGCTTTATGTGTATAAACTCATAGCTCTGTGAAAGAGGTCCTGCTGTTACACCCCTTTTATAGATGAGGAAACTGAGGCAAAGTAAGGTTCAGTACCTTGACTAAGTTCATATAGTCAGTAAGTGGCAGACCTGGGATTCAAGCTAGCTGCAGTGTGGAGAATGGAGAACAGCCAGACCGGAAGTGGAGAGAGCAGTTAGGCAGTGGCCCTTGTAACCCAGGAGGGAGGTGATGATCTCCTGCATGGGGACATGGCAGTGGGCATGGATTATGTGGAAGGATTTCAGAGTTCGTTAGGAGGAAAAAAGACTAGCTGATTGGTAGGTGAGGTTGTCCAGGCAGTGAGTGTAAACACATCTTTCAAGAGTTGGGCTTTGATGGGTTGAAGAGGGGCAGAGACTGTAAGGGGGAGAGAGAATGAGGGAGGGTTTTTTTTTTTTCCTTCTGTGTACATACACTCACACAGGGGCGTTGGGAGAGGCCTACGGAAGAGGATATAAACACATTTAATGGTATAATTATTTCCTTAAAAATTATGTACCCTTTTTCTTTGCTTCTGTTTGATCTTTATAGGATGAAGTTGCCATATGCCCTTACGATTCCAATCATCGCATGCCTAAGTCGTCTCTAGCAAAGCACATGGTATCTTGTAGATTGAGGAAACTGGGCTATACCAAAGAAGAAGAGGTACCATATATCTATTATGTGTATGTTGTGTAATTCATACCTTAATAAATTCACAGTATTTGGAAGGTACAGTGTGATGTTTTCTGACAAAATAATAGTCATTTGAGGGGTGCAATGGTACTTGCCTCATTTTTCAAATTATTGCAAGAAATGTTTAAATGATATTAATCTATTGTTGGTTTATCTCAAATCTTAAAATAGTCATGATACTGAAAAACACTAAGATTTTGTTTTTTTTATTGTTTAGGGTAAAATGTATAATTCTGACTTTTTCTATGAGAATGCAAAGATACCTTCAGTTACCTTGAGTAAGTATTAATATAATTTTAAAATATCTTAGTGTAGCTGTACCTGTATAGGTATTGATATTTCTTTTTTTAAATTTATTTATTTTTATTTATTTTTGGCTGCATTGGGTCTTCGTTGCTTTGCGCGGGCCTTCTCTAGTTGTGGCGAGCGGGGGCTGCTCTTCATTGCGGTGCACGGCCTTCTCGTCGCAGTGGCTTATCTAGTTGTGGAGCACGGGCTCTACACGCGTGGGCTTCAGTAGTTGCGGCTCGTGGGCTCTAGAGCACTCTGTAGTTGTGGCGCACGGGCTTAGTTGCTTCTTGTCATGTGGGATCTTCCCAGTCTAGGGACCAAACCCGTGTGCCCTGCATTGGCATGCGGATTCTTAAACGCTGTGCCACCAGGGAAGTCCTAATGTTTCATTTTTGAATTATCAAAAGAATGGACTTTATAAGTATACTTATGGTTGGTTAAGAAGGGTTTTCTTTTTTTTTTTTTAAGATTTTTTTTTTTGATGTGGAACGTTTTTTAAAGTCTTTATTGAATTTGTTACAATATTGCTTCTGTTTTATGTTCTTTTGGTTTTTTGGCTGCGAGGCATATGGGATCTTAAGCTCCCCAACCAGGAATCGAACCCGCACCCCCCGTATTGGAAGGCGAAGTCTTAACCACTGGACTGCCAGGAAAGTCCCAAGAAGGATATTTCCTATAGTGACACTAGTTTGCTCAATCTGAAATTTAGAGACCAGGCTTATAATAGGCAATGAAAATATTCCAAAGCTTTGTACAATAGGACAGATGCCTTCCTTCTTGATTATAACAAAAATCTGGCCACACACATAATTTGACGATAGAACTGAGGATAGAAATGTGTTCCAAGCGTTCATAGCATACATAGAGGTTAAAATCTTGGACTTTGGAATCAGAATGCCCTGAGTCAAGTAATTTTGTCACTAATAGTTGTGTGACTTTCAGTACGGTAATTAACCTGTTAGTTGCCTAAATTTCTTTATAAAATGCGGATGATGATAATAGCACCCTTGTGAGGATTAAATGATGTAATGATATATGTAATATGGTTAGAATACTGCCTGACACTTAGCTGGAATTCAAGAAATGTTAGATATTATATTGGTTGATAAAATTTGTAGCAGCTACTGCTGCATGCTTGATTATAGTGTTTTCTGAACTGCTTGAAGTCTGGTTACTTACTGGATTCTAGGTAGATCTGAAAGAATTCTGCATTCAGAGTACCTTGGCAGCACTGTGGGTGTTAAGATTCTGGAAGGTTTCTCAATGTGCCCAGGGAGCTTGGATTGGAACCCAGTTAATTTCATTGTGGACACTGACAATTCATATTGTATTTATGGATTTTTTTGACAGATAAGGACTCACAATTCCAGATAATTAAACAAGCTAGAGATGCAGTTGGAAACGATGGTGATTATTATAATCAAAGTAAGTGGCATCAAAGTTTGAACTAATTAATAAAACTTTTTCTTCCATAGCACATGTTTCTAATTTTCAAGAGAAATCTTACGAGAACAGTTATGAGAAAGGCTAAGTTTTATATTTGACATTAGACTCAGTGCTTGGTGTCAGCTTCATTTGTTAGATATATTCCACTGAGATACACCAATCTCACCAGAACACTGTTTTAGCTAGGGATTCATGCTTTGGAATTACCTAATAGGTGAGATTGCCTCGTAGATAAATTTTTTTTAATTATGATTATCTAGTAAATAAATCCCACTGAGTAGACTGTCTCACTCTGACATTTCCCCTCTCTCTTGAGAATTAACCCAGTGTTAAATGTAGGAATGTCGAAATGCAACGTAAGAGGAAAGGCTCGGGCTAATCTGTCCCCACAGCTACTCCTCGGTGAAGCACAAACAGCGGTTTTATATACAATTTCAGAGGGTTTGTGGATCCCTGCATGCCCAGGCTGGCTTAAGAGTTTCTGCCTGGGACTTAACTTCAGCAGAGACTAGGTTAGAATTATTTAAGTTTGAGCTTCTAGGAAATTGAAAGAAACCTTAATCCTTCAAAATCATAGAAGAAAACAAGTAAATGCAGTTAACAGATTTCTGACTCTAGGTAGACCATCCAGCCAAGGCTGACTGGCTCTGATAACAATTCTCAGTTGACTTCCTTAAGCCTCCTGAAGGTAGCTTTCTCTGGACATCTTACCTTTTTCTCCCTCACTCTTCTTTTTAGCTGAATGATACTCACTAGCCCATAGTTAGGATTTCTTTTCTCCTGTGTTGATGTTCAGGGTCTTAATCCCATTGTTCTAAGCCAGTATCTGGGCTTCATTTCTCCCTCAGTCGCCCTGTGGCTGCAGAAGGAAGAAGTCTTCTTAGTGTGCATTAGATTGGTTCCTCGGAACAGCCAGAAGCCTATTGCTTGTATTTCCTGTTTTGAAGATCCCATTTAGTACTTTTTGTGCTAAATTGCAGGTTTTATTCTTTGAGGGAGACATTTGACTCTCATCTTATTTGAAGAGATTACTGAGCTATAGTCAGTCAAGCCTTTTTTGACCCCTGTTCAGTTAGTGAACCAATTAAAAAAGTAAAGGATTTTGGTTTTTTTTTTTTTTTTTTGGAGGGGTTATTAGTTAAAGGACTTTTTTTGACCTTAGCTAGTTAGATAGATTTACTGAATTTATTTTAGAGTTGAAAGAGAATTTGGAGATAATCTAATCCAGCTTCTGCTTTTTACAGATCAGGAAACAAATCCTGTCTGATAGAGATGATAAAGTTCTGGGGTGCTTGTTCTAAAGGTTCTCAGTGCTTTTATATTTTAGAAGAGAGTTTTTTTATTTTTCAAAGCTCTCTTATTCATTTCATTTCCCTTTGACAACAAACTTGTGATAGGTTGAACAAGTATTTGCTCTTTCATATTAGATGAAGAAATAGAGGCACACAGAAGTGAATTAACACCCCTTTGCTATAATATAGGAAAGCTGGATTGAGAGCCAAGTTCTGAATTTTGCAGATTTGCACATTGAGTTTAATTCTTTACAAAAGCAAATAATTACTTTGAATGAATAGTTCTTTCAATAGATAGTTAAAAGGAACTTCTATTTGATTTTGAATTTTTGTATTATCTTAAATTAAGACTTCATTGTTAAGAATAACATGTTATATGATCTGTAACCCTCTTTTTAAAACTTTTTTTCATCTATGTAGAGTTCTGCAATTTCTCAATAGAGATTAATTTTTGTGGCACACTTATGTCTTACACATCTAAAATTTTTTACCCCAGGACAAAAATCTCTTTAATACTTTCTTATTGATGTTTACTTTGAAGGAAGAATAACTAACATTAATAGTTTTACATTTTCCATTTCATTAATGTTTTGTTTGTTATATACTAAATTGTCAGATTTTATGTTTTCATTTCATCAGTCACATCAGGTCTAAACTCAAGGTATAGAGTTCTCAATTCGTTAATCTTTGTCAAAGCTTGAACAGCCATTAGATCTACTTATTTATTTTCGGATATAGTTACTTTGGTTAATTTTATCACCAAGATACTAATTTCAGTCATAAACAGTCATTTTATATAGTTGGTGGTTTATCTTTTTCCTTCAATATTAAAAATTCAAGTTTCTGTACTTCAGTTTCATGGCATCTGTTTGGGTGGTGGCCGTGATTTGAACATCAGTGTACTATGATAAAGAACCCCAAAGAGACAGGAGATTATGGTTCTAGACCTGATCTGTTCCTACCACTTGTGAGATGTTGGCAAATCGTTTTACTTCCAAGGACCTCATTTCTTCATCTCCAGCGTTAGGAAATTGACTCTGTATGAATTCTTTGCAAAATTCTGAGTTTGTACCTTTAACACGAGTTAATGTTTAATATTGTTAAATATATTATTATTTAATATTAATATTTAATATTGTATCTCACACGTTTGAGATGCCCTGTGTTGGCAGAAAGGACTAACACAGAAGAATGAGAGTTCAAGTTATTGAAAAAGTAGATTAGAGTTTCAGTTTGGGATGATGAAAAGGTTCTGGAGATGGATAGACATGATGGTTGCACAACAGTATGAATGTACTAAATGCCACTGAACTGTACACCTGAAAATGGTTAAAATGGTAAATTTCATGTGTATATTTTACCACAGTTTTTAAAAACTACTATAAAAAAAGGCAGATAGAGGGTCACAGAATTAGTATGATTACAGCTCATTCAGATATACCTCTGAATTGTATAGAAACTTGCGTTTGAACTTTTACATTTTGTGGAAATGTAAGCTTATTTAAGTGTGTTTTTTTTTTTGTGTGTCGGAAATATCTATGTTCTGAATGATTTGAATGCAGCTTGTTTAACTTTTCCTGTACTTTTTCTTTTTCAGTAATTGGGGTGAGTATAAAGAGGAATTAGGAACCTGAATGTACTCCTTATTTAAAGATATGCAGTATCCTTTTTGCAAATGATATCCTTTTAAAAGTATCACTCAAATTTCTAAACTTTATCTTAATCACTGTCACAATATTATAGTCTTGATTTGGAATTTTAGTTGAATTTCAAAGAATTTAACTATCAGTCTTGACCATACAGGAATTTAAGATGAATAAAGAAAACTCCAAAATATTTTAAGGAGGAAATTATACTTCTTTGTTTAAAAAGAGCAGAGAGGGGTTTATGTGGAGCTTGTTTATAATACATCAGTGTTTTCTAATCTTTTGTATTTTTCTCCTAGAATGTATAACCTATATTCAGATAAATTCGGTTTATCAAAGCCATCTCATTTTTATATTATAAAATTAAATGTTTTAACATCTGGCTTTCCCTAGCGTCTACCAGAATTAGAGTAAGATTGATTGAAAAGGAGGGAACCCTCCTTCCGCACTAATTCAGAAGCCTTCTGCTAGTACAGATGCTTATCTGTAGCTGTTACACCACGGACTGAGATTCAGTGTAGCTCTCGTCTTAATTTGTAGACAAATGTAAAGTCATCTCTTTTCTTGTGTTGTCATGCTTAGTTCATAGGGTGCTCTCATTTGAATTTTTGTTTTGCCTCTTTACCTAGGAAGTCAGTGAGATTAAACTTTATCAAATATAAGTATTTGAGAAGAGCTACTGATTTTACATTGTTCTGTGAACCTGAGTTATTACTTTAGGGTAACTAGCAAACATTAAAAGGATTCCTTTAGTAGCTCATGTTCTTTGTTTGCATTTGTGAGTAATGAAGTCTAGAAAGAATCATTTTAAATTGCTTTATTTACAGTTACAGTAATTTTTTTGTTTCTTTGAGAAAATTTGAATCTCAAAACAAATTTTCTTCAATGTTTAATACATCATATCAAGGTATTGTATTTACTTTTTTTCATTAATGAGCAGATTTTAGAAAGTTCTATGACTTTGGTGGGGGGGGTATCGTTAAGGTTTTTCACTTAATTTGGTGAAGTCAATATGCTGCTGCTTCCGAAAATTAAATCAGGGTTAGTCTCAGTCTGTCTTTCTCTGGTCTTTCTTGGGATTTCTGCTACTTAACTGTTTCTTGGTCCCTAGCTCTAAGTCATTGCACAAATGGGATGCATTTTGACTATGGAACATCTAGCTTGATGTCTCTCATAAAAAATGATATTTTTTACACATTTTTCATATTTCTATAATTTATCTTCAAAGGGACTGTAATGTGTATTACCTATTAAAAACATTTTTTTCCGAGCTTTTATGGGGAAAAGCATATAGACAGAAAGAAAGTTAATATCTACCTTTACAGTATGGGTACCCTTTTAAAGGTTTTTTTTCTTAGCAAATTGTCTCATGGTTATTACTGCCTGCCTTCATGGGATCTGTCTTAACATTGTTGGAAAGAATAGCAAACGTCCACAACAGCAAACATTCTGTGGATGTAGCATTCAGGATAGAGTCAATGTTGACCGTTATCACACAGATTGATGTTTTGTATGTTTAGGGATTACTATGAAAACAGATTGCTTGTGTTAATTTAATGTTGCATTATTACAGCGCATGTTTAAAGATAAGTATAGTAGATCATAAATCCACAAAGCTTCATGTATTGTTTATCCTTGTGATTTTATTTTTACTCTAGGGATGTATTCTTCATTGCCTGTTGAAGTTCCTCTGAATCACAAACGGTTTGTTTGTGATCTAACCCAAGCCGATCGTCTTGCCCTCTATGATTTTGTAATCGAGGAGACAAAGAAAAAACGGTCAGATTCTCAAATTATTGAAAATGACAGCGATCTCTTTGTAGACTTGGCTGCCAAAGTCAATCAAGGTTTGAGACGAATATCATAGTTTTCTATTTCTTAATTGTCATTCCATCCTTTGAGTGTTACTAAGATGACTTGTCAGGCCACTTTGAGTTGGAATAGGATGGTTTTGTATCATCTGTCATTCACATATATATTAAGATGTTTACTTAGTACTTGAAATTTTGCTCTCTGATTGTTACATTAAGCATACCTTACTTCTGTAAGAATGTTCCTTGAGCTGGGCTGTTACTTTAATCTCTGTACCTAAGCACTGTTATGTTCAATTAATGGTTAGAGAAAAGGAGTGATATAAACCTCAGTCCACTTATATAACAGAGTTTTCAGAATATTTTTGAGTGCTGTATTATTACAGTACATTAAAGCATGTTGAAATGTCGGATGATTATGGTGTGCCTTCCCACTAATTCATAAGAATTTATAGCTTCTGAGGATGTAATAATTTTATTTTGTTCTTTTATTAGATAATAGTCGAAAAAGTCCAAAATCTTACCTTGAAATCCTGGCAGAAGTGAGAGATTATAAAAGAAGACGCCAGTCCTATAGAGCTAAGAATGTTCACATAACCAAGAAGTCATATACTGAGGTATGTTTGGCATAATTTTATGGAGCTTTGTCGAACACAGAGATTTCCCTTAGATACTTATCCTCTGTCCCGTGGATCTCCACAGTTCCTTACAGGTTTTCTGAGCGGACGTGGCTCCACGGTGGCCACACCTGCTTTGTATTTGCTCCATCACTCTCAGACCCACCCTTTACCAGACAAAGGCTTTTCAGGGTACAAAGCCCTTCTATAAAGAGGTTGTGCAGGGCTTCCCTGGTGGCGCAGTGGTTGAGAGTCCGCCTGCCGATTCAGGGGACAAGGGTTTGTGTCCCAGTCCGGGAGGATCCCACATGCCGCGGAGCGGCTGGGCCCGTGAGCCATGGGCGCTGAGCCTGCGCGTCCGGAGCCTGTGCTCCGCAACGGGAGAGGCCACAACAGTGAGAGGCCCACGTACAGCAAAAAAAAAAAAAAAAAAGAAAAGAAAAGGTTGTGCGGTCTAACAAAAACACTGCTTTTGAGAAAGTGGTATTACATCACGATGAGGACATAGATTTTGGCTTTAGACAGACCTGCGCTTGAGTTTTGATTCTGCAATTTATCATTGGCTCTTTGACTTGGGCAAATTATTTGAGCTTTTCAAGATTCAGAGTTTTTCATTTTATAGTAATACAGACTGCAGGGTTATTGTGAGAAGTAATTGAAATAATGCTTATGGACAAAGAAATTGTTCAGTGAATATCTTTTTTGGCAGAAATTTTAGTGTGCGTTTATGTACTTTACTAAACATTTGGGCTTAAGAAATGTCTTGGTATAAATTATTTGTAATTTATATTATAAAATAATTTTATGTATATTATAAAATTTAAGTACATTAACCTCTTGATGTATATCTAGACTTATTTTCAGATGTCATTTAGTGGGTAGAGTTGATGAATTTTTGGTACACGAATCACCTTGCCTAAACACTGTAAATAATTTCCTCATTGAATCTCTAATTGTTCCCATGTTATTTCTTCCTTCCTTTTATGATTCCAGAGACCTTCCATAATCTGGCCTCATTTTACCAAGCGTTTTCTTTTGTTTTAGTCAAGCATGTCTGTTAAAGTGTATCTGACCACACGTATTTATTCTTACCTCAGTATCCTAATACACGTTGTCTCATCTGTGGTGCCTTTTGTTTTGCTGTTTAGAAACTTGATGCCCACTCACTGTTTCCATGAGGTGTTGATGGCTCTGAGCCAGCTGCTGGCTTACTGCACTCATGCTCTGTACCGACAGCTTAGCACTTGGTTTTATGCTGTGCTTTTTACAATTAAAGTACATGTTTTAGACTTACCTTACTCGGGCATCGCCCTAGTGAGTCTTACAGTCCCTCAAATCCTTGGTGGTTCAACACTTGTTTCTTCTCTGGTCTCATAACCTTGAACTCAAATATCAGTGTCGTTGCTAAGTGCTCTTTACAATTTTATGGTTAACTTTTTTTTCTTTTTAATAAATTTATTTATTTAATTTTTGGCCGCGTTGGGTCTTCGTAGCTACGCACGGGCTTTCTCTGGTTGCAGCGAGCAGGGGCTACTCTTCGTTGCGGTGCACAGGGCTTCTCACTGCGGTGGCTTCTCTTGTTGAGGAGCATGGGCTCTAGGTGCATGGGCTTCAGTAATTGTGGCACGTGGGCTCAATAGTTGTGGCTCGCGAGCTCTAGAGCACAGGCTCAGTAGTTGTGGTGCACGGGCTTAGTTGCTCCGCAGCATGTGGGACTTTCCCGGACCAGGGCTCGAACCCATTTCCCCTGCATTGGCAGGCGGATTCTTATCCACCGCGCCACCAGGGAAGTCCCTGAGTAGCTCTGTTATCTGAAATTCGGTACTTAACTCTCTGTAGGTGATTCGGGATGTGATCAACGTGCACATGGAGGAACTCGGCAGCCAGTGGCAGGAGGAGCAGGAGAATGCAGAGGATGATGCGGAGAAGTACGTCAGTGCGTCAGCTGGTGAAAATAGTTCTGTTTTTATTCTGTCACCCGTAATCGTTCAGCTGAACTTTAGCACCTCCGAGACCATTAGTAGCATGCTGTCATCGCCAGAACGCTTGCTGTCCTTGAGTTTACCACAGTTGTGAAACATGCCATTAAGAGCTGAGTTTCTTTGCCCGCCCTCTTATCTGGAGTGCAGGGCTACACGTATTTAGTCTCTGTCTGGCACTGGTCTGATACAGAATATGGAGCTTTAGGCTGGTCTGTACTGGAGACCATAGTTAAAACTGTTTAATGTTCTTTCTGTTTCAGGAATGAAGAAAGGCGGTCGGCTTCAGTAGACTCACGGCAGTCTGGGGGAAGCTATCTGGATGCGGAGTGTTCACGACATAGAAGGGATCGGAGTAGGAGCCCGCATAAACGCAAAAGAAACAAAGAGAAGGACAAACACTGGGACTCAAGAAGAAGGAAAGAGAGGTAAGCCCGGCACTGCGTCATTCGCTGTCGAATTGTTGATGCTTGAGAAGCAAAAGGCCCTTCTGTCATAGGCCATGCTGAGGACATGGCTTGTAAGTAAATTAAGGTGAGGAGAGTAAACAATTGATGAAGATTCTTAACATTCATCCTGTTTCAGTTCAAATATCCACAGCTCTACCTGCCTGATTGGTACGGTTTCCCTTTTTTATTACTTGTTTCCTCACCAGGAGATGGGAAAGTAATGTCTAGGTAGAAAGTTAACCATGTTAAAAAGGTGTTTGCCTAGATCTTTCTTCAGTCCTTTCTGTGTCCCTCCCTCCCTTTCTTGTTTCGCTTTCTCATCCTTTCTTTCTCTTGCTAATTCATCAGATAAAGGATGTTATAAAGTCAGAGAGGAGGTCTAAGCTTTAATGGCAGTCAGTTTTGCCCTTGTTGGTATTCCTGATAAAATTCTGAAAGCTGCGGAGATATAAAGTAATACTGAAATAGTGAATTCAGATCGACCGAGGTCTGTTCCTGTATCCAGCTGCTTACTGGGCATCTACGTGGATCTCAAATTTGTCAGGTCTACGCCTGAACTTGACTTTTTCTTGGTCTGCTCCTCTTCCGCCAGTACTCCTGTCCTGGTTAATGGACGGCCATCATCTGTTCACCTAAGCCAGCAGTCGAGGACTCATGCTAGAAGCTCCCTTTTACTCCTTACCATCTGGTCCTAGTCGTCCGTTTTGTGTGAAGATGCCTCACATGCGCCTCCTCTCTCTGTCCTTAAGGCTGTCATCTGGAAAACGATGGCTGTGCTCCTCACTGTTCTCTCTGTAGGCTTGTCCCACGTGGATCCATCCCCGCCCTGCTGCCAGAGTGGACTTGCACCTCTTAAAACTCCTCAGTGGTAGAGTTCACATTCTTCGGAACAGCTCTCGAGCCCTCCCGGAGCAGGGCGCCTGCCTACCTACCTTGTATTTGCCCCTGCCCCGTGAACTACACAACTTCTGCTCTGGCCAGCCCGCATTCCTCACAACTCCCCACCCGCACTGGGCCTCGTCCGTGCCTTTCCACCTCGTGTTCCGCTGCCTGGTGGTGGTGGTTGTTGTTGAATATTTATTTATGTGTTTGTTTGGTAGCACCGAGTCTTAGTTTCGGCATGTGGGCTCCTTAGCTGCAGCTCGCTGCCATTCGAACTCTTAGTGGCGGCATGCACATGGGATCTACTTCCCTGACCAGGGACCGAACCCGGGCCCCCCTGCATTGGGAGTGCGGAGTCTTACCCACTGCGCCACTGGGGAGTCCTTTAAGCCTTCGGTAAACTCATCCTTTAAGACCCAGCTTAGTCATGTCCATGAAGCCTTTTTCACTCATTCAGACAGAGCTGATCTTTCCCATTTTGTTACCACTCTACCCAGCACCTACTTTTTATTGAACATAAGTTATTTCTCTCTCTACTAGACTGAGCTCGTTGAAAGCAGGTCCATGTCTTATTTAGTATTATTTGCACAGTGCTTGTCTAGCAATTGGCTTTTTTTTTTTTTTTTTTTGCATTACGCAGGCCTCTCACTGTTGTGGCCTCTCCCGTTGCGGAGCACAGGCTCCGGACTCACAGGCTCAGTGGCCATGGCTCACGGGCCCAGCTGCTCCGCGGCATGTGGGATCCTCCCGGACCAGGGCACAAACCCGTGTCCCCTGCATTGACAGGCGGACTCTCAACCACTGCGCCACCAGGGAAGCCCTAGCAGTAGGCTTTTAAGTGACACCTCTCCAGGGCCAGTGGTGATCAGGATATTAGTAAGACTTACTGGTTTAATAATTTTGCTCATCTTATTATCATTCAGTTCATGGAGTTAAAGCTGGCTATGATTTAGTCCTCTTATAAAAATGAAATATTTGCTTAGTAAACCCTTTTGATTCATTTAATGCATGATAATCTGTGATAATTATGCACACGTTAACTTTTTTTTTAAATATATTTATTTATTTTTGGCTGCATTGCGTCTTTGTTGCTGCGAGCAGGCTTTCTCTAGTTGCGGCGAGCGGGGGCTACTCTTCGTTGCAGCGCGCAGGCTTTTCACTGCGGTGGCCTATTGCAGAACACGGATTCCAGGCGCACGGGCTTTAGTAGTTGTGCGGGCTCAGTAGTTGTGGCTCACGGGCTCTAGAGCACAGGTTCAGTAGTTGTGGCACACAGGTGTAGCTGCTCCGCGGCATGTGGGATCTTACCGGACCAGGGCTCGAACCCATGTGCCCTGCATTGGCAGGCGGATTCTTGACCACTGTGCCACCAGGGAAGCCCCTGCACACGTTAACTCTTGATTAGCTATCAGAAATTGTGCTGTCTCACTTCTTCTGGTTGTCAGTGCTTCTTCCACTTAAGTAATTTTTGACATGTCCAGTCAGTCCCTATTGACTTACATATGTTAGATAACCTCAAAATCTAAACATGAGTAATCTTCCTTTAGAGAGGATAAACTGAGTATTAGCAGGAAACACTTCTCACTAGGATAGTCTTTGAGGGCCACCCTTGAGAGGGAATGAATTGTGGGAGCTGAGATGGGGGCCAGGGTGAGTAGATCAGACATCTGAACTCCTATGACTCTAGCATCCTGTTTGCAATGAACTCTCAGGTCATCGACCGGGTACATATAGTCAGAGTTAATTTTAAAGTGTAACTCCAAACGCAGGTAAAGAATCCGTTTTCCTTATCCCCATCTCAATTTTGTCCTGTAGTTTTAATGAAGCATTTTTTATATCTACTCCTAAAAAAAGTCACTGATCAGTTTTAAGGGCATGTTTTAACTTGTTCTGGTTTATATCTGATGTCAGTATATTACTGTGAATTATTATTTTAAAGCTTTGATATTAAAATGCCTGTCATTTATAATTTTTTTTTCACCCCTTTCATTTCAGGGATGGGGAAAGACATCATAGTCATAAAAGAAGAAAGCAAAAAATATAAACGAAGTATTTGTGCGTGTATTAATTATGCTTATGCCATGGTAACCAGTATGCTGATGTTTTTATCATAATTGCTTTGAGTAGGAGAATGTGCTTACATGAACTGTTCAGTGCTCAGATCATTATTTTTCAACCAATACTTACATCTCAAACCATGAGTACATTGATTATGCCCTAGAAATTTGTTTTCCTTATATTTTAATGGATGATTGCCTCCTATTACTGATTTTGTTTCATTCTTTTTTTGATAATTTATGTTTCAGAAAATTCTTTAATTAAAGTGAATATTTAAACTATATAACTAATACATAAATGCATTCTTACTGTAAAAAATTAAACCTTGGGCTTCCCTGGTGGCGCAGTGGTTGAGAAGTCCGCCTGCCGATGCAGGGGACACGGGTTCGTGCCCTGGTCCGGGAAGATCCCACATGCCGTGGAGCGGCTGGGCCCGTGAGCCATGGCCGCTGAGCCTGCGCGTCCGGAGCCTGTGCTCCGCAATGGGAGAGGCCACAACAGTGAGAGGCCCGCGAACCGCAAAAAAAAAAAAAAAAAAAGAAAAAGAAAAACCTTACAGATAAGGCTAAAGAATGCTTGGAGCACCACCTATGATCCCTGTGGCCACCCCAGGGGGTAACCACAGGTGAACTGTAAAAGGGAAAAACAACCCAAATATTCATCAAAAGGGGAAAGGCCTGGCTAAATAAAATGTGGTGTAGTCACATGATAGATTACTATATTGGACTTAAAGAAATAAACTGTATTATCATGAATAGATCTCAGAGACATGCTAAATAAAAATAAACAAGTTTCAGAAACGTATGTACAAGTTATATCTATGTACAAAACAATACTGTACATCTTCTCTGGCTGTATATGTATATAAATATATTTCTAAAGGTTCAGAAGAACTCATCCCAAACTCCCAACAGTGATTATTTGAGGGAGGAGGTATAAATGGGAGAGAGAAAGGATGGAAACCAGGATTGGGAGGATGGTCAAAGGGAACTTTAGCTTTATTCATTATGCATTAATTTTTAAAAAATAAGGTAGTATATGTGTTTCACTTGTTAATTAAAAATATACTGTCGTTTTGTTTTTTGTAAATAAAGTTGATTGAGGTACTGTTTACATACAGTAAAATACATTCATTTTAAGTGTACATTTCATTGAGTTTTGACAAACTGATACCCCCCCACACCATGTATCCTTCATCTCAGTCAAGACAGAGAACATTTCCTTCTCCCTCAGAAGTTCCCTTATACCCCTTGTCCCAATCAGTTTCTCTACCACCAGCCCTAAACAACCACAGATCTTCTTTTTGTTACTGTTGATTAGATACATCTTTTCTAGAATTCATGTAAGTGGAATGCTACAACACAGTACTTGCCTCTTCACAGACTGATCCATGTTGTGTGTGTCAGTAGTCTGTTCCTTCTCGTTGCTAATAGTATAGTCTATTGTATGCCAGATTGTTCAGTTGAAACTTTGGCATTAAATGTTAAACATCTCATGTCTGAAGAGCAGTATCTGCGAAACTCAGGTGAAGGATTCCAAGGTGGGTTCCAAATAGAAAGGAAACCTTGATTACGTGAGTAAGTAACTGACAACTCCAGAAAGGTTGACTGGTTTTAGATCAGATTGGCTGCTAGGTTCAGGTGTGGAAGAAGCTCTCCAATTTATAAGGTGAGAATCAACGGGTCGCTTGCCAGTATGAAGCCCTATTTAGTGCCGTTGTACTTAATTTCTAAGTATATAAAATTCAGATTGAAAAGTCTTAAAAACAAGGACTTCGGAGTTACCATAATGTTGAGCTGTGTGACATTGCTGCCTTTGTAGGTCAAATCCATTTGAATGATCAGCAGTTTCATATAGTATAACTTAATTCATAATATTGTTTTTCATTATGATTTCAATGACTTTACTAACTAGAAGATGGACTTGGGCTTTTAGTAGGAGAGAGAGAAGGGGAAAGGAATAGGGTGGTGGGATCGGGGAAAAATAGGATAGTGTTTCTTTAATGTCTTGCTAGATTCACTTGTTTGCAAAAATTTGCCAAATTTTTGTTAAGGTGTCTCCGTTCATGAGGTATATCGGTCTGTAGTTTACTTGTAATGTCTGTCTGGGTTTTGGTATCAAGATGATGATGGCTGGGAAAGTTTCCTTCCTCTTTTTTTATCTGGAATTGTGAATAATTGATACTGTTCCTTTTTAAAAGGTATTTGGTAGAATTTACCAGTGAAGCCATCTGGGACTGGAGTGTTCTTTGTGGGAAGGTTTTTATCTATGAATTTAATATACTGAATCTATTTCAAGGTATCTGTTTCTTCTTGAGTCAACTTAGATAGAAAAAGAGATTGAATTAAGCCCACATTAAGCAGAAGGAAGAAAACAATAAAGAACATAAATCAGTGAAATAGGAAACTGGAAAGCAATAGAGTGAAAGAAACCAAAAACTAGTTTTTCAGAAAGGTGAATAAACATGATAAGCCTCTGGGCAGATGACTCTAGCCAGGAGGAGAAAAAGAAATTAGTATCAAGAATGACTGTGGAGGTGTTGCTAAAGATTCTACAGACTTTAAAATGATAGGGAATATCATGCCAGTAAATTCAACAATTTAGATGAAATGGGTAAATTCCTTGAAATACACAAATTACCTAAGTTTACTCAAGAAGAAACATACCTAGGTCAATGTAATTTACCATATTGATGTGCTAAAGAAAAACCCTATGACCCTCCATAGATGCAGAGAAAACACGATAAAGTTCAATACCTGTTTAGGGCTTAAAAAACACAAAACACTCTCGGCAAACTAGAAATGGAAGGGAACTGCCTCACCTTGCAAAGGGACATCTACAAAACATTGTAGATGTTTTAAAGTGAAGGATTGAATAATTTTTCCTATGACTGGGTGCAAGGCAAAGATGTCTGCTCTTGCCACTTCTATTCAACATTGTACTGAGGTCCTAACTGGTACAATAATGCAATAGAAAGAAAGAAAATGTGTATAGATTGGAAAGGATGAAGTAATAATTGTCTAAATTCACAGATGACATAATCACCTATGTAGAGATTTACCCAAAAAAAACCCTACTAGAACTCATAAATTTAGCAAGGTCAATTCATAAAAATCTATTATAACTTTTATATGCTAGTAATGAAAATTGGAAATAGCATCAATAAGCATAAAATACATAGGAAGAAATTTAATAAAGTATGTGTGAGACCTGCATGCTGAAAACCACAAATCTTCCTGAGAGAAATTAAAGACATAAATGAAGAGGTGCTGAAACTGAGGGTAGTCATCAGTTAGACCCATTAAACTGTAGCTTGCTTAATAAATAATGAACTGTAACTGCCTTCACTGATCAAGCTGGCTTTAACTTTAAGAAAAACTCCCTGCCTTCCAAGCATCAGGTAGCCTGGACAGTAAGATGTCTGCCCGAGTTGGTTTTCAGGAACTTGGTGTCAGCTGCGTCCAATTCAAGTTCGAGCTGGTTAAGATGGGTTGGGACCCTTGAGACCCTCCAGCTTGGGTGAATGTCCAGTCGGTGACCTTTTGACGTCAAAGAGCTGAAAACTCCACCCTCGGAGCGTGTAGATGCTGCAGTTTTCTGAGTGTGAGTCCCATGGAGAAGCCTGTAGCTTAGTGGCGCCTGCGCATAACCACGATGACCTCACCTTTTTCTTCTTGCCAGTCACCTTTCCCACGCTCCCCATGCCTCAGCTTTATCCTGTAAGTATCCCAAGCCCTGGCCTTCGCGGAGGTGGATTTGAATTGTTCTCCCGGCCCCTCGTGAATAAACCTCTTCTCCACTGCAGACCTCAGCATCTCAGCGTTTGGCTGGCTGCATGTCGGGCAAACAAACCTGGTTTGGTAACAGCACCATGCTCACAGATGAGAAGATAACATGTTTAAGGTACCCGTTCTCTCTAGATTGAACAAGTTGCAATGCAATTGCGGTACATTCCCAGCAGGCTTTTTTTTTTTCTTTCTTTCTTGAAAGCATAATGCATTTTAAAAACTGATAAAATATACATAACATAAAATACATCATTTTAAACAGTGTTAAGTGCACAGTTCAGTGACAGTAAGTACATTCACATTGTTGTGCAACCGTCACCTCTGTCCATCACTAGAACTTTTCCAGCTTCCCAAACTGAGACTCTGTCTCCATTAAACACTCCCCATCCCTCCCCATCCCTCCCCACCCCAGCCCCTGGCAACTATCATTCTCCTTTCCCTCGCTATGAATCTGACTATTCCAGGGACCTCACATAAGTGGAACCATGCAATGTTTGTCCTTTTGTGTTTGGCTTATTTGTCGACAAAAAAATCTCATGAGAGTTGTGCGTTAAGTTTTATTCGGGGCAAAATGAAGACTATAGCCTGAGAGCATCTCAGATAGCTCTGAGAAACTGCTCCAAAGAGGTAGGGGGACAGGTCAGCGTTATATGTGATTTCAGTGAAGGGGACTCTGTGCAGTCACATATGTTGGCAGATGCTGGCTGCTGGTCACGAGGAGCAGATGTCACCATGAATGACTTCAGTGCTTTTCCAAATATGAGGAAATGCAAGAAGTGGGCTCATAAAATCTTCTGAAAATATCTATCTGAAGGCCTGTTCTGCCAGTTTTTCTCGGAGCACAGAGGGCCTCATTCCTGATCTCCACCCTGAACTCCTTTCAGGGCGTGTTGAAGGTCAGTGGCTGCAGTTGCTTGTGACCTAATCCTCGTAGAGGCAGACGGCAAGTACCAATCTTTAGCTGGCACGCTTCACCTCAAAGTTCACCCAATGTTGTAGTATGCCAGCAGGATTTTTTTTTTTTGATAGAAATTGACTTAAAAATTTATATGGACATGCAGTGGATCTGAAAGAGAACAGTTTAGGGAGGAAAAAGAATAAAGTTGGAACACTTATACTACTTGATTTCAAGATCTATTACAAAGTTACAGTAACTAAAACCGAGTGGTACTGGCACCAGGGTAGCCATGTCGATGAATAGAACAGAAAAAAAAAATCTAGAAACAGATACACAGATATGTGATCAGTTGGTTTTCGACAAGCCACTGAGGTAATTGAACGAGGAAAGGGTAGTTCTACCAGCAAACGGTGCTGGGACAACAGGACATCCACATGGAGCACAGTGAACCTTGGCTTCTACCTTCAGCAATATACAAACAGTCTAAAGTGAACCGTAAACTTACATGTAAGAACTAAAGTACAAAATTTCTAAGAGAGAACGTAGCAGAAATTCTCTGTGACCTTTGGTTAGGCAAAGATTTCTTAAATAGGAC